TCCCTACATCTGTTAGTCAGAGGGGCTAGGCTGGGATAAACCTGCTAATATGGCCAAAAGTCACATGTCCCCACGATCCGGCCTGCGTGTGGGAGCCAGGGCAAGGAAAGCAGCCCTGATGGATTATGGCCTTCTCCCCCTCCCCACCTGCCCCCCATGCCAAACCAGCCACCAGACTCCTTCCTGGCATCATTTCTGAGCCTGTTCCTGAAATGTCATCAACAGGCAACACTTTTTACTGCTGCTAAAACTCTTACCAGGCTCCTTGAGAGCACAAGAAGGGGTACATGACTGGCTACTGCGCTGCCGGACTGGGAATGGCACATGAACTCCCCATCTACTGTCATACACCTTCAAACACAATTTTTCCCCTTCCATACAAATTTAGTTATCTTTATTATTGGAAATAATTGCTGCTTTGAAACGCATGAGAATAAAAATACTCAGTATTAAAACCTATTTAACAGTCAGAAAAGCGTGTATGGCACTACAGTTATCACTTGATCTGCTGAGATGGAACAACAACATGCATTAATGTAAATTCCACCCATAAGAAAGCTTTGCACAGTCTCACTTAATAAAGTGCTCCCATTTTTTGTGGACACTATAAGATTAAATTGCCTTAGTCTTCTTTCTACCCAGACAACAGGCCTTGCCAGCAGCCAAGGGGCTCTGCCTTCTGCCTTGGAACAACACCTGAACACTGGGGGGAAATGGAAGTGGAATTCGGAGAAGTGGCAAGCAACATGGTTATTGCATTACTTTAAATGTATTAAAAATACAGCTGAGTCTTAAGATTTAAAAAAACCCTGTGACTAAACTGCACTGAAAATTCAATCATTTCCCATCAGGCAACTGGTTTTCCAAATTATGGTCAAGTTGCACTTAGGTATTTTAAATTTTTTCTACCAATGCAGTCTCTTTACTACAGGTTTTTTGGATTGGTGCAGCCCTACTGTTAAACACAATTGTTCCCAGTGGATGGCAGTGATCCTATCACCTTAGCTCAGAACAAGTAGCCAATTTCTGGTTGGGGCCAAGAGACAGGATCTGGCACCCTCTGACTGTGCCTGTCTCTCTGCTGACTGAGGCAGCCTCCCTACCAGCCACCTTGCAGGCTGCTAAAAATTAGGTTAAAAATTGCATGGTTTTTTCCTAGTTGCTACTCATACAAAGAGAGAATATTGCATTGTATAAACACAACTATTGGTACTTTGATCAATTCCACTCCTAACCAACAAGGTGATGCAGGACTACGAGAAAGATTCAAAATAAACCAGGGAATGACCAAAGCACAACACAGGAGCAACTCTCTATACAGTACGCTGGACTATGTGTAGTCAGTGGCTGCCATCCCAGGTGTAAATGACACTGACTACATGCCAAAATATTTAATCAAATTACTTTCATCTTAACAACCACCAGTTGGTAGAAACCACATGCACACATCCACAAAAGTCAATGAACCAATAAGCTGTCGCATTGCTGTAATTAAGGCTAAATTAAATGTACAAACACACTTTGAACCACTGACACAAGGAAGCTGGAAGATGAGGATGGAGTAAGACCTGTTCTCTTCTGAATGTTCTGCCTCCCTGCCATGTCATCTCAAGCTGAAGTAAGACCCACCCCGTGACTAACATCTCCTGGGATCCTGCAGAGCAGAGCAAGCAATGCTCTAAATGGTCAGTTGCCATATTTGAAGTGCAAATTTAAGCCTTATGCTACAGACTGCAGAGAAATTAAAACTTGTCCACAGTAAAATATCTGATGACTGTCAATGTCACAGATAACTGTTTTCATGTAACAAATAAATGTACTAAGAGGAGTATGCATTCAGCCTTCCCTGCAAAGAAGTGATCCTACTCACTGAGTTTTCAACCTATCCATCATGTTATTTCTCAAGTTCACATCCAGGCCAATTTAGTCAGTGACAGTGACCAGAAGGTATTAACTTACACTGAAAACAAGAGCATCAAAGCATCTGCAGTTCCTTAAGAAGGTTCAAAAGCTTGTAGAAACCAAAATGTGACAATTAGCATACATGCTTGCTTATAGATTATCAGCATTAACAGCAGCACACATTACTCAAACAAATGAAGTTTCAAGGAATCAACATATTTAACATCCTTCAGCTTCTACACACAAGAATATTATGAGCAGAGTTACCACGTGAGCACAGTGGAAACACATCTGTGCATCCATCACCCTCTGTCTCTCTCCAATTCAGTAGGTACCAACGGACTCAATACATGGACTCCTACGATGGGGAATGAGACCAACAGGAATGCTCTCCTCCATTACTTTAACTATAACTAAACAATTGTTTGCAAATTGAGATATAAATCTTGTTTTATGCTAAAGTCATCTGCTACCCCATACATTTCACAGAGTAAAATCTATAAAAACTTAGCTTTAGTATCAAATGTAGGTACATTCTGTATTTTTCCCCAGATGGAATATACGTGACACTTAACAAACCAACCAACCAGGAGACCAGTTTTAGCACATAAAGACTATAAAGTCTTTCAACACAGAAAGCTACTGGTTCTTTGCAGGTCTTGCTAAAAGTCAGAGGGGAAATAAAACAACCAACCAA